AAAAAAAAATAAAATAAATTTAAAATAATCTCAACATTCTAAACAATCTTCACTTCTTTAGTATTAAATGACTTTATTCTCTGATTAAAAAATCCCGGAAATTCCTCTGCTTTTCAATTCAAGTGTAGATACTTACCTCATTGCTTAGTAATAATTACAACAGTGAGGGTTGTTTTAAATTTAAGTTAATTATTTTATATGAATAGTACTTTTTGTTAGAACTGTGCAAGAATAATATGCGGTGTATTTATATTAGGTATTAAGTTATTTATTTTTATATTAGTAATATGTGGGAGGTTACATTATTTTTTTAAGAACATCTCATACTTTTATTATACTTTAAGACTTTATAGTCTGCTTTAACTATGTAAAATTGTGAAAATAGTTACTAAGTATGATAGGAAATAATAGTTTAAAATAAAATAAATCTAAATATTTTAAAAATGTTATTATTTATAGAAATAAAAATAATAATATACGCACCTATATTGGTGAAAAGTTTTAAAACTCTATGATTAGAGCTAGGATTTTGATGACTTAAGCATTTTTTTTCTTTAAGTGCTAAGTAGTTTTAACCAAAAACTAAATTTTTTTCGTATAATAACAATTTAGAATGTGTAATTTTTATTTTGCATTTTTTATGTTAAATGCATTTTATTGCATTTTTACAGATATTACGATAATTTTGTGTATTTAAACTCATTTTTGTTTATTTTAAGCTTTTTTTAATGTGTTGTATAGACTATAGGTTATCTCAATATACTCCAGTTCATCGATATTAAAAAAGTAATATAATTAATTGTCAACTCAAATTTGAATATGTTTGTTTAATTTTTATCTTAAAATATATTTTTACCTATTTTATTTATAATATAAAAATTAATAAGTAATAATTATTTTAAAATTAAATTTTTTTCGCTCATCTAATTTTATTTTTCGATATTTTTTTAGAGTTTTTAAGTCATTTTTGGATTTTTTTTAGTGTATTTTTTAGGTTATTAAAATCCTAGCTCTAATTAGAACTGATAATTTTTGTATTACGACAAAATAACTAAAACAACTATTTTTTGTTTAAATATCTAATTTAATTAATATTTTAACTTCAAATGCTATTAAAAATTTCACATATGCGTTTTTAATATTTTTAAATTGAAAATCGAAAACAAAGATATTTTTATAAAATAACCTTATACAATTTGAAAATTAAAAATAATTAAAAATTGATAGAATAAAATATTCATAGTAATGTATATTAAAAAATAATAATGATGTACCTATAGTGAAATTTTTTCACAAGTATATGATTATTACTTTTTGAATTTTAATAAAATAATAAAACTTATTTAGAAAGAAATATTTTTCGTAATTTGTAAATATCTAAATTTGAATATAGAATTTCATTAACATTTGAATTTCAGAAGCTTAAAAATAATTAATTGTGTACATACATTTTTATATCTTAAATTGCCATACGAACTATTATAAGAAGCCTTATATTAAATTTTCTTGCTACTTCATTTAAAAATTTGAAAAATTTTAATAGGATTAACTCTTTAAAGTAATAATAATTAATACTAGAATAAAGTTTTCTAATTTAGAATTTTAAATAAAACATATAGGTTTCTGATTAAATATATTTAATTGATTCAATTAAGTTAAATGGATAAGTTTTTCATTATTTTTTGCTCGTAATACAATATCATATTATTTAGATTAAACTTGTGATCGTTATTTTATTATATTACAAAATTTATGTTGTCATAGTATATATATACCTAATAAATTAAAAAATGTAGTAAAACTGTGACAATATCTTAAATGGGTTTATATATAAAAATACTAACGGTTTAATACAAAGTATAAACTATTAAAAATATTTATTTTTTTTCCCATTTATAGTAAGACCTTCATAAGATTAAGAGTTTAAGGGTGAAATAATAGTAGGAATACGAAATGTTTAAAGCAAAAAATAGGAATTGTTGCTATTACTGCTTTAATTTATTAGTTTATTACCTACTCTATATCTACAGGCCATAATAATAGCATTATTTAATTTGCATTATCAGATTATCCTAATGCTATACAGAGCTATATATGTACATTCATAACGTGAATATTCAAGTTATAGTTTTAATTCATTTATATGTTCCTGTAATTGACTGCGTACGAGTTGATCCTCGGGTACCTATTCGAGACCGGTGAATTGATTCCCGGGCAATTATAAGAGATACGTATGAGTTGATCCTTTATTTGTTGAATTTGTATATCGATGGAAAATTAATAAAACAAGTAATTATATAGGTCAATATTAAATAATTAAATTCAAAAAGTTTAGCTGATTTTTCAATTGTAATGAATCATGATATAATATAATGAATTAAAATGAATTGCATTAATACAATTTAATAACTAAAAAAAAAAAAAAAAAATGTCGGGTAACTTTTTAGCCAACCTCCCCGTGGTATATCCTGGGTAATGCTATTAGGTTGAAGTTAGGAAATCAATTAATACGTCTTCTAAATGGACTCGGGAATCAATTAATACATAAAGTAAGTTTTGGGAATCAACTCGCCCACACCAGTGTAATTTGTATCGAATTGTGGTTTGTAGTTTGACATCACTTGTATATGTTGGATCCGTCAGCCATTGCGTATATACTCGACTTGAATAAACAGTAAATGTTTAAGTCTAGTATCCCGACGTTTAATGTTTAACCACGCCTAAAGTGAATTACTTTTCATTAATCATTTCATAGCGGTGTGTACATAAACAATTAATTGTGGACGTTTTGTTTTTTGGTTATTATTTTTTTGGGGACTACTTTTATTTATACACCTTGATAGATGTAGAGAATATATTTTTTTAAATAGCTGTCAAATATTGACTATTGTATCGCATAATGTAATCTTCTATTTTCGTGTATAAGTACACTTGGTAAAATAATACATATTATATATGTAATATGTAGTATGCACTCATGTATTAATGTATTATATTATATTTACACATATCTATAAGTTTTACGAATATATATATATATATAAATATTAACTTAAATACATCACAACTTATAACTTATAAGTAGGATTAGAATTTATATACAAGTACCTATGCATTATAAAATGGTAAAAAATGTATTTTATTTTGTTAAAATACATTGTAAATTTCCCAATGTTTTCCCAATTATCATTAATAATATAGGATATAATATATATATATGATTTTTATAATTTTTTAAAAAGTATTTTATTATGTTAACATACAATTGAATTAAATTACTTTTTATGTAAGGCAAATTATTTTTTTTTTGCATTTACTTTTAATTAAATCTACAGCATTTTTTAAACTTTTATAATATCACGTAGCATTATTTCTGTTTAAATATAGGTACTATAAAAAAGTTTTTCGTGTTTAATTTTAAAGTATGCCCTTTATTTACTTAAATTATTCAAAAATATTTGGAATAAAAATTGTCATGTGTACCATTATTTGTATATTATTGACGAAATTTGCAAAAGGAAGGTGCAAAACCAAACAGACCATAATGTGTGTGTGTGTGTGTCTAAATTTTAATTTCAGTAGTAAGCAACTATCAACCGACGACCTACTACGTACAAACGTCACTGATGTTTACAAGTTACTTTGTCTCCTGTTCACATCGTAAAGATAATAATTTGTATAGGTATAATTGATTGCTATGCACTCGTATTTCAGGATTGTTTTTTTTTTTTTTTTTAAATTCATTATTGTAACTGTGTACATGTCCAGTATTTTAATCACTAACGACTGTATTTCAATACACGAAATGTCTATTACAACGAGATCAAGAAGTCATGTCGCACAGCCTTTCCAATAAAAACGCCGGTCATCTCATACTGTTTATATTGCTCTAAAAACACGACGACCGTCCGAGTAATAGTATAATAGTCGTGCCGGAGCCGCGGCGTCACGGTAACAAAATAATATTACAATAATGACATCGTAGTACGTCGTATATATGTGCAGTGTACACATAATAATAATACCATAATATGGTCGGCGGCTCAGTTCGCGACGGCGCTAGGGCGTGGGAAGTGGCGGAGGGGTGTTTGCTCAACAACGATTGCGAGGACCACCGAAAAAAACCATCTCATTCCCAAGCAAACACACACACACACACACACACACACACACACACACATACATGATACGCGCAGTTGAAGTTGTGGGTCAGCGGAGGTGAGCGATGCGGTTTTGGGCGAATCGGGGCAATGGATATTGTTATGCCCGCCGGTAGCTAGCCGATCGGTGAATCTGCGAGTTAGCGCGGCGGCAGAGGTAGCCTGCGCGGACGACGGCGAACCTCGGTGATCGTCGCCACCGCCGCCGCCGCTGTAGGGTGGAACCAAAAACGTGTACATCTATATAGCGTTTGTATATAATATATACGCGCGCGCGACATGGGCGGCGGCGGCGGCGCACGCACGCACCAACGAACGAACGAACGAACGGTCGTTTTACAGCTGCGCGCGTATCCTAGCAGGGATCATCGATTCCGGCGATGGTGGCGAGCGGAAACGGCACAGCTTCCGCAGCAGCCCGGGACGACTGGAACGCGCGCGATACACGCACACCCCTCGTCGTATACATAGCGTACAGGATTCCACTCTCCGCGCGCCGTCCGTTCGCACCCGCCGAAATATCACCCCGCGCCACCGCCACGCGGACTCACTACACCTCCTCACCAATCCCTTCCCCCCTCCCCGCCGGGCGACACCGCCGACGCCGTCAGCGCCGCCACCGCCAGATCCGCGGCCGCCGCCCGAGTCAATAGCCGCGCTTCTCCGCGCGTCCGGTTCTCCGGGATCCAAATTCTCACGCGCGCTCCACAAAACTGGGTTGCCGCGCGCGCCCGACGGCTACGCGCGCACACATCGCGGCGGCCGCCGCCGCGCCGTCTCCGCCCTCCTGCCGTCAGCCACCACTGCTGCCGTACGCCACCCTGTGCAGTGCTCCTGCTGCTTCTGCCCGCGCTTCCGCGACTACTACGACGCAACGACGACGACGTCGACGACGACGACGACGACGACGATCACGACGACGGCGGCAGCAGCGACTACGACACCGCCACCGCCACCACCGGCACCGCCACCGCCGCGGCCGGGCTTCCTCGTCCACATCAACCGCCGCGCTCCCGCGACCACCTCGGCTGTGTACCTCATCGGCGGCAGTAGTATCCGTGTCCCCGGACATAACGTCCGTCCGCCGGTTGTGTCTGCTCGCGTCGTTCCCTAGATATATTGCCGCGTATTATATATCTCTATATATATATATATATGTATGTGTATTCACACCTATATATCGTACACGACGTATATGGACCGCGAATCCGTAGTGCTGCAGTAGAATAAAACGCATAGGACACGTCGAGCGAAATTATACTCGTAATTAATAAGAGCGTGAGCGGGGTGCGTGTAAACACCGCGGACAACAGTTGTCTCGTTTTTCTTGACCGCACAGTCCGAAATTGTAGCCAAACCACGACGACGGGACGCTGGTCGAGGTGTGCGCAAAAAATCGAAAACGTTTTTTCTTATCTCGTACGCGTAATTATTTAATATTTTTACATATATATATATATATACGTATACAATCCGTCCGCATCACACAACACTGCTGCACGTGCTAGAAATTTCCGGCATCGCGTACCATCGACTCTAAATGAGTTACCGTGGGTCGCAACAGCGGTGTAGGAGGGCAATCGTCTCGTGTTCCACAAATACATCGTTCCCCCGGTGCACTGGCGGTAGCGGTACGACACCGACGCGAACAGCGGCTTCAGAGGGTGGTAGGTAGTGCGTCCGCATCAGCATCCGCGACGATCTCGTCGTAATCATCCGAGACGACCGCCGCGATATAAACGCTGCACACTATTGCTCACGACGCAACGCTTAGTGCTCAATAACATAACTGTAACCAAACCGTTTTCACTCTCAAATATAATTTAAATAAATTCATAATATATAGTCATAATATTATACGATCGTCGCGAGCACACGAGTATATAAATATATATATATATAACAAACGCCGCTGAGCATTTCCAGCGCCAAAATAATATACGTTAATATATTATAAAATATTTAAACGGCGTTCATATTACCGAGCGTTTCGATGGACAACCAAAACAACAGCACCACCTCCACTTTCTTGCCGCCACCCATCGACGGCGAGGCGTCGGCGCCGCTCGCGCAACCCGACGACGACTTCGTGGTGCCCCTCTCAGCGGCCGGTACCCCCAATACGCCGGCCGACGACGGCGGCACCGGATCTACCGTGTCGCCCGTGACTCCTATACACCTCGGCCGTCATCCGCACGGCGCGATGATGATGGACGACGACCAGGCGGCTACCGCCGCCGCTGATGGCGGTGCGACGGACGACAGTTCCGTGTTGTTGCCGCCGCCCGACGAGACGGACGGCGAGGAGAAACCGAACAACAAAGACAACGCGGACGGCGAAGACAACGGCGGCGACAACGACGACAACGGGGCCGCCGGAGATGACGACCAGGTGCCCGTTCTGGCCATGTCCGGCATTCTGCCGGCCACGGCTACTGGCGGTGGTCCGATTTCCGACTCGAAGAAAAACGCCGGCGGACCGAACGACTCGTTGACCGGTGGAGGAACCGGCACCGGCACCGGTAACGGAGAGAACAAATCTAAAGAGAAGTAAGCACATATTTTTTAACGTTATTTTTTATACACGCATCATATTATAAAATATATTCATAACCGATTCTGTTTTGATAAAATATAACGGTTGGAATGAATCGCTGCCGCGAAACTATATGCGTAGCGCATATAATATTTATATGTTAATTGTCGTGGAAACTCGGTGGATAGAATTCTGTACGCCCTTCTATTCGTATGGACCCTAACCCCTAGCAGTTTTTTTTTAGGGGTTCGTGCGTTCAAGGGAATCGTTATTGGTTTTGATCAACCAGTATATACGGTTCTTACATCATTCGTGGTTATTTTCGGGGTGCTTATGCGCGCGCGTCGACAATGATGGGGAGTGGTATACATGTGAGAGTGCCAACGAAGTTTTCCCTTAATCCGGACTTGGCGTTTCATTTATAAAAATAGTAATAAATCACTTTTTTCTATATAATACCACTCATACATGGTACATCATAAATAGTTTGAAATATATATTGCAACGTACAAACACTCGTACGAATGACGAGATACTTTAATTAAAAATTTTATTTTTATTATAATACGAATAAAACAAGTATACTTTTTATATATATGTATATGTACATAGTATATAGGTATATATAAATTGTTGAGACGGGTACTATAATTATTATTAGGTAGAGGTGGAAGTGTCGGCGGCGGATGTTGTTGTTACACTAATTTTATACGTATATATAGGTAGGTGTGTGGCGACGCGATGATCATTTGTGGTAGCGGTGGTAATATTGTGTAGCCAGTGAGTCTGTTGCTAGAGTTGTCTGTTGTCTATCTAACGTCAGTCTTAGAATACCTAATATACAATCGACTTAACTCGGTACGCGTTTACGTATAGGTATTCAGTGTAAGGTGCGCTTCAATAGAATAGGAACAATTGAGTATTAATTTTTGAATACTTTAGTTCGAGTTATTTTTTTCAAATATAGGACTTTTTTAACAACATACGCCTTTTTTCTTTTTCTTTTTTAACTACCTATTAAAATGTACAACAGTTTAACAATTCGTTTAGTTAATTATATTCCTCCGACCATGCGGTGTGAATACGTAATATAGGATATTATAATTCATTAAATTATAAAATATTATATATTAATTTAAGCTTATCACTTAAATAACTATATATATTAAACCAAACGATTTTTTAAACGCACCTTAACGTATATTTTCCGAATACAATTTGCTCGTGTGTGTCGATTAAAGAAAACCGTGTCGGAAAAAATATATATAATGGCGAAATCTAAATCTTCGGGAAGTGGAAATCACCTCAAGTAAGTTTCAAGCACGAATTTAATATATTATTTAGTATACCTTACACACTTTATATCAAGGTATTTTAATAATAATCATAGAAGTTTTAATTAATATCTAATACCTACAGTATATTATTATTCGTTTAATTATAAACAGATAAACGTTAATAATTTGTAATATACATTATACGAAAATCATGATTGTGAGTACGTAGATTTAGGGTGGACCGCACGCACACACGCACACGCGCGCACACACACACGCACATATATATTCACACGAATAGGGTGGATAATCGTAGTAACTAGTGCAGTAGTACGTTTTTCCGGGTGGTAGTATAACAGCTCTACGCTTGGTTTATTACAATAAATATATATTATTATAATACATTTATTATACACATTTATGCGGTATGGCATGTGTGTATGTACAACAGACATTTTTGAAATAATTTTTAAGCTAGAGAAATTTAATACGCGCGCGCGCACGTATATAATATAGGTATTATAACGCATACCTATAAAACAATAATATTATAATATCATGTACTGTACAGACCGTTGCACATCTCGTCCTACGGCAGCGACGACGACGTGTGTATTTTATACGCGTGAGAACTACGTCGTCGGCAGTAACATTGTAAACTAATAGTGTTGTATATAGTAATAATAATAACAATATTATTATTATTGTTATTAATAATAATATCATCATACCGTTTAATTGTATATAATATAATAAAACATACACGCATAAGTCGTATTTATATGCGACCCGTCGTAACAAATATCCGTATCAGGAACTGGATGAGGGACCGCGAGTACTATGTATACATTTGTGTATAATATGATGTGTACGTGTGAGAGCATTAATTGATGTCAATTTATAGTGTGTGCGTGTGTGTACGTGTATTATATACAAATGTACGTGTATACCTTCCATCGTATCAACTGTATTATATATGTGTGTGTGTGTATATATATTGCACGAATTGTTTCCGCAGCTAAAAGTTTGTCGTCGATATATAGATAATAATAATAATAATAATAATAATAATAATATACTACGAGGCCGTATTAATTTGTGATCGCCGCAGTTCGTTACGTGTAAGCGAATACGCGCGGTGAAACAAAGTATTTCGTTTTTAATTAATTATAATGATTATTATTGTCAAAAGCCATTACTATATATTATATTCCTGTACGTTGCTTACACCGTAGTCTCCCACCGTTCGCGATGAAAGGCGGATGCTGTAAACGTTGGCAGTGGTTATATACCCATTACGAGATAGTACCTAACTATATAATATATCAAACGATAAATATGCATAATACCACATTAAACTCTATGGCTGCTGTACATGAAATCGCGCTATTGCAATAATGTCATAAATTTTTTGCGTTCAAAGCACATAAAGGATGTGTACATAATTATACTGAATACATTCGAATATTGTTATCGATCTGTTGCCATCACATTAATTTTTTTATAATTTATAACACTGCACAAAACCCATACGTGGTTTACTCCTTTGCGGTGTGGTTGTGTACATACAATATATATAGCACACGTATATTATTACAGTGCAGGTTGCGCTAAAATATAATCACTCCTAATGTTTATCCGTTTGTATAACGATTAATAAGCCGCAAGTATCGGATCACCCTTAAAATAAAAAGCTTTTTTCGAAATTGATTCAGCGATATTAAATTTGATTTTCGAAATTTCAATATGATAGATGTTTTCTATTCGAATTACTTTTAAAGTCACAAAATTGTGTTTCATTGTATTTAATAAGCAACCGCATAAATGAAAAAAAACCATACCTACTATACTTATATTAAATATAATATATAGGTACTTTTTTACTTATATAATAAGTATACTTCCGAAATACAACGTGCTACGAAGGCGATTGAACTTGGCAAGCCATCAATCAATCCAACATTATTAATGATGGTTGTAGCCTTTTATACACTTGTTGGGTATAAAATCATCATATATACCTATTCAAAAATAACCATAATACACTTAATCATACACGGAGTGATCATATATTTTCAAAATCATTAAAAAAAGTAAACGGTTCATTGTATAAAAGAATGCTGAAAAGGCGTAATAATGTAATTATATAATAGCTATGTAGTAACTTTCGCACCACTTTTCGCTCCTATATATAATTTATGACATATTATACTCGTACTTTATTCAAAAGGAATAATTAAAAAAAATTTTTTTATTTATTTCCATGGTACTTTGATGAATAAAGTACCTATTAACCGTCATGTTATAAAAGTACTTATAATCATTGAAGTCTTGGATAATTATATAGTATTGGATTCGCATCTTTGATAAGTTTTGGGATTAAATAATAAATGTAGATGCTTATCACACGCTTTCTCGAGTAACTTAAATTGAAATTGGTAATTAGGTAAACTATTCACCTTTTTATAAATATAATTTTTAAAAATAATTAAATAAATCATCAAGATCTTTAATCAAGCATTATCTATAAAATATAACCATATTCATGATTATTTATATACTCAGTATTAACAGTATGGTTATGTGTTTAATTAACAACTCTAAAAAATAAGTATAAAATGATTTCAATCATAATAAGTCATAAACTCATAACACTCATTACCGGCCTTATTATTTCTCAAATAATCTCAATTAAACTTAAAACACTTGTCAAGTTATAAATGAAAATGCTCTTTGTTCTATATTTAACATTTAAACATCAAAATATTTTATTTTAGTATGTGAAGTTTATTATAGGTACTATTTAATAAAATTTAAAGTCTAACCTAAATAATCGCTATGAAAAAATGTAATTTTCAAATCTTAAAAATTGAAGATAAAGATATATTAAGATATATTTAATTTCTTTACTATTTATTTTTAATTATTCAAAATTGAGTATATCATAATTCTGCAGAACATATATATTATACTATTAAAAAAAATATATGTGAGAAGTATAAGCGATTTGAATAATTGTAGAGGACGCGAATATCCTGGCTTTCAATAATTTAATCATACTGTATACCTTATATCTATGTTACGAAAAACTTAATACTTTGCATAGGAAATGCTTATACAATATATGCGGTAAGTCGTGTTGTTATGTGAATTTAATCGATCGATCGTCAATGCCACCGCCACCATCACCATCGCCACTCCCTCTAAAATATAATGTGATGTTAACGACCTGTGTTATTATTGCTACTTGCGTGGTAACGGGAACGATCGAGGATATCCTCTCGTGGTATTTTTTCTAATTTGGTTTTTTTTAATATAAAACACGTCGGCGTTTCTTCGATAATAGGTTTTAATAATAATAATAATAATAATAATAATAAAAAAAAAAAATACACGAGCGTATCGCGCCGATTTCTCTAGGATATTACGCGATGACAGTCAAGTGATCTGGTAGTGACTGGCGGTGGTGTGGAAGTGGATGGCGATCTCGATAATCGCGCATGCATAACCGACAGACAAGAGGATAGGAAGGAACGAAAGGACTCGAGAACACAGCAAGAAAAAAACTTTATGGTTAACAATTGAAAAAAAAAAATCCATCAATGTGTATTTTTTATGTACCTACCTTCGCTTCGACCATATTTTATGTGCTGTTCACGCTGAACAATGTACCACCACCAATCGACGATGAGTTGCCGAAAATACGACTAAAACGAATCATACGTAGAATATCCACATAATGTATATAAATAAGTAACTATTAGAGTATATAAGCAACAAGCAATGTAAAATAGCTACTAAAAACACAGAAATAATTCTATAATACGAATAAATAAAGTTAAAACGCCTAATGAAGGAGAAAGCGTAAAAAATCGTACCATGACGATGTATCTATAGTTGACACAATTGTTAAAGTAAATGTATTAATATTTTAATCAATATCCCAGTAAAATATACAAAAAAAATGAAAATTAATTAAAAGCTATGAATTTAAAACAAATCAATTTTCTTTTAAGATTAATAATTCATAGCTCCGTATATAAAAATTAAAAAGGGTTTCAATAAATTATGTTTTAATGTAAACATCTATATACATACTTCAAAATAATCCTATAGATATAATAAAATCTTTTTTTCAAATTTTGGATTCAACATTTTTAATCAAAAGGTCTAAACACTATGTTATACGTTATGTCGTTATGAATACAAAAATTAATATGCTGGATTTAATACCTAATTGATTGTGAAAATGAGGTCAAAGGTAAATTTAAAATACTACGTGATGTTTTCGTTATACATCTTTTATACAATGCTAAAACAGTATTGACAAAAATTGTATTTTTTTATTCTAAAATCAAATTATTTATATACTTATATTAAAAAAAGTATATATTTATATCTATTAAAGTATATTTGTAGTATACTGTTTTATTAACCCATCAAACAAAATATATATCTGCAGGGACAGGGAGTATCTCATATCCGAAAATAATATTTATAACATAATAATGGTGGATCTAGGAATACGTATAGATAGAGGACGCACATTGTGTATATTTATCAGAAACCTTTTCTCACTCTATTTTGCTCCGTGTCTACTCTTTTATTATTATTTATTATTTTTTTGATAACAAACAAAAATAAGTTAAATCGCTTTTGATACTAATGGATTAGTTTTGATGTAATGAATTGCAAAATGTAAGTGCAAATGTGCAATATATTAATCATATTTTTATAAAATCTTCTTTCTTGATTTGATTTGGAAAAATCTTTAATTATATGTTGAAAAAGCATAATGAATAATGATGATGTTTTATCATCCTCAATTTTTAACAATAATGGTAGAGAATGTATTGAATTCAATATCTTTTTTTCGAATTTTAATTATATAGACGTACAAAATACGCCCTAATAAATATTTTTATTTCATAAAGACTATATTTACATATTTTATAATTTATTAATTTAATTTTGACGTGAATTCATGTATATGTCATCATTTATTCCATTTAAGAACAAATACATTTTGGAAGTAAAATTTAGAGAATGCATTTAATTCAATAAATTTAAAATGAAAAAAAACTCTTAAGATTTAAATTATAATAAGTTTTAAAATCACGATTCCGGTTCAGGAGACTTATAATTTATAATACCAACGTAGAGATATTTATTATTTTGTTTGAGGATATGCATAATTGTATTTTATAATTATTACTTGATAAATATATTTATCATATACCTCTTCCAAGTCCCGTAATAAAAGTAGAAGAAAATCTTTTTATTTGACCTTGTTTATTCAGCACTGTAACAATAAGCTGTTTTTGCGCTTGCCGCCCTTGGCTACTTCATAACCTCACTGTGGTATACTGGCGTGCCTTAACTTAAAATATTAATTCAATTTATATTCGCCGTGAATTATGAAAAAAAATGTAACGCCCTTAGTTAAAACATACACTCTTATTCGTTGTCCACTTTGCTAGACCAATAGGTACAATAATATATATATATTATGATAATGTATTAGCCAATGTTCGTACCACGGTAATACATTTTTTTTTTTGCCAACAATAATTATTTAGTTTATTATGCAAGTGTTTTTGTTATTTACTAGTTATACAAGACTGATAGTAATCATGCATTATGTATTTATGCATAATATTACATATACAATATACTTATAAATTAGTATCACAACATATATTTAAATAAAATAGATACACGTTTTTAAGTGAGTATGTGTATGAATAAAAATAGAAATAAAATATTAGCTTTATATATAGGAGGTATTAGTAAAAATATTGTTGTAAAATTGAAATAATTATTTTTTTATAAATTTTTTCTTGACGGTAAACGCTAAAATAAATTACCCTTAATTATTTTAATATTTTTTGTCTATAAAAATATCTTAAAAGATTTAAATGTTATTTGTAAGCATAAATGAAAGAACAAACTATAAATCAATTTATTATGATTTAATAAACGTTAAACAAATTAATTTTGTATTAGAATATGCATTATTCACACTGTAGAATTACAAAGGATATTTCATTTTAATAACTGTTAAAATTATTATATAATTTATATGGTTTAAGAATTCTGTTGTACCTACTTTATGAATTATGTCCTTATATGCGTATAAATGAAATGCAAAATTCAAAAGATTATATCAATATTATTCATTTACACACACTTATACGTATACAAACAACTGTAATAATACTTATATGTTATTAATATTTATGTGTAGATCACGTTATACGGCTGGTAGCGGTACAGGAGCCGGAACAGATGTGGAAGATTCTGGAACAAGCAATCCGCAGGCGGCTTTGGGATGTGGAACTACGTTTGAATACGTAGTACTAATAACAGCGTGCTCAATATTGCTATTGGCCGTCACCGGCACTACCGTTTACTGGACCATGGCCTACCGTGGTGGATACGACCCCAACTGGTTTCCCTGGCCACCGCAGACCCCCAAGCAAATGTTATCCGTCGGCGTATTTACTTACAAACATCCGCAAAATTTCACTACCAGCGGTAGTGACATTAGTACGACAACAGTTACAACGACCACAGTGGAACAGCAACAATCTTCGCAGTTAAACATATCGTCTTCAAACTCTTTGATGGAAGATCGGCGGTTCAACCTGCACCCAACTCTTATGACGGTCGGTTTCGTCACTTTAACAGGATTTTGTAAGTTAATGACAATACAAATATAATATTATAAGACCATCACGGTTATAGCAAAATTTAGTATAGATATCTTTATGATACTGTAAATAGTGGTCGTGTGATTACTACTGTAACTTACAGTATTAAAACATTTATATATTGATCTTTATTTTGGAAATTGTATTTAATTGTCTGAATATAATTTATTAATGTTCCTAAATTTTGGCACGCAGCTATATTGGTGTACAGAATGGCCGCTGGATGTTCGACTTCGTGCAGGGGTACTTATGTGAAATTAACCCACGGACTATTGCATTTGGCTACCGTACCGTGTGTGGTTTTGGGAGCAGTGGCCGCTATGGAATATCATCGTTTGAAAGGCTTGCCGCATTTGTATTCGTTGCACAGTTGGATGGGATTATTGACCGTTTCGCTTTTTGTAATTCAGGTAATTACAACAATGTTTATACACTACTACATGTCACTAGATTCACACTTCACACACGTCGAACACCAATTAATTATAGACGACATTTAATTTTTAATCGAATTTTCTTTATAGTTCACTCTTGGATTGTTCACGTTCGTCGTGCTGTTGTGTTGTCGCGGCGCAACGGCTGCGTGCCGCTTACGATGTTTTGCGCCTATACACGCCACCCTGGGATTATGCACGTTCACACTGGCCATAGCTACCTGTCTCACCGGACTTCAGCAACGCGCTGACTTCTCGATATTCAGCAATAATAATGGGTTCGTACTTGGTTTCCGTCTTAATACTATAATATATGATAATCGCACTTCGTATATGATTCTATTGATCATATGCGATATATGTGTTTTTTCTTATCTAGAAATTAGAATACCAGCTACTTACTCTCCACATGCGTTATTTTGTATTAACATTTGTTATTTTAGGTATACAAGTGTATAACTATATGTCTATATACTAGGCTAGGCCGTGTTCCAACATTTTTCTTTATTTCTCATCAAAAATAAATGTAGTCAATGTGTTTGATAAATTAATGATAATCTAATCGCCGAGGAGGCGGAGTAAAGACAACTCTATTAAATTCAAAAAATATTTATTTTGTTTTGGAATTGTATAATATATTAGGATTATGAAAAAAATTTTTAGATTTTATGATATTGTCGAAATTTAAAAGAATCATTGGGTATTTTGTTCTAATTCGCTAAATTACATTAGTTGTGTTAGTCGTATTTCTGAAACCTCACGGCTCGGGCGATTATTATACTACAAGAGTAATGCGCCTTATTATATTTCGTATAAATCAGTGTTTGCGTTTATGACGTATATACGTAGGCGTTGTCTATACGAATGATAAAATACTAATGAATTATACTAATAAGCGACGTGAATATAATAATTTTCTATGTATTATGTACTAAAAATATCAATACAGGCAACAACAACAGCAGAAACAGCATGAACAACAGCAAACTACTCTGCCGCCGACGCCGTCGTCGTCTCCGTCGTCCTTAAGTTCAGGCGAACTACACGGCCGCACGTTGCCGCAACAAGTTATTATCAACGTTCTGGGCGTATTGTTGATGATGGCCCTGGTGTTCGTCACAGCGGCTTTGCTGTCGCAGAAGAAATCCTGCCGGAGGAATTCGTCGTTGTCGTCGTCGCCGTCCACTATGAGGTATTGCAGAAAAGGCGGCCAATCGTTCCAACTCGTGCCGTCCTCTCCAGCTGCGGCCGACGGACCGGATCTCGGCGGCCGCAACGGCCGGATGTGATTATTGAAATCTTGTAAATTGTTTTACGACGAGGGCGACGACGACGACAACGACGACAACAACCATCACCACCGCCACACAACGACCAGACACGCGCGCACCACATATACAAAATACCTACTATTTAATACATTAATATAAATATCACGTTATTATATTATATTTTTCATACAGTCCGATGCACACGCTATATAACGTTATACGGACCGTACACTCTAAGGCCTATTAATTATTATTATTATACATATATTTATATACTGAGCACACTGTATAAAACATAACTTGTAACACCGTATTCATTCGTACACCGATCGCGAAAAGCTCGAAGCACAGACGACGTATGAAGACCACCGGAACTCCGGAACAGCGAACACCGGACATTGGCGCGAAACGAACGTTTCGACGCGGTGTCACAGATGTGACGATTTCCGACGTCGACGACAACGACGACACCGCGAGAACGGAACGCGATCCGAGACAACTACCTGTTGCGGTAATAATGCATACAGCGGCGTAGCGGCGGACGAAAGACTCCGTCGATCATAAATAATTTTAACATCTTTAACACTATAATAACATTGGTGGATGAAACCGGAAATACTCTGCTCGGCATTGCTGTTTATAATACGCTGAATATTACATTACCGTATAAAATATATAACATATCAGTGTGTCATGGGTGTGTTCGGGTGTGTATGTGTGTGTATGTGGGTGCGTGTGGATGTACGCCGCTATAATAAAGTGCTTGCGACCGCCGGTGATGAGGCGTCGACCGTTGTGATCACGATGACGTCGGTGATGGTGATATTAGTGGTGATGGCGCCTTATACGGAAGAAAATTTGCACGCACAAAAATCATGTACACCTTCCTTCCACATGTATTTTTACCTATGTCCTATGCCATTACCATTGGTAATACGTCATAGTGTACTGTGTATAATCAATGCTATTACTTAAGTCTCCTGTACGCTTCAATCAATCATATAATATTTAATACTCATACAATATTGTACTGAACAATTTGCACACACATAATTAATTGTTTTTTTTTTTTTTTACTGGGTTTAATCTGTTAAACTTTAAGACTTTGTACGCTTGAAAATCTCTTAGGTACCTATATCACACTATGTCGAGCTTCTTTCATCGGTTATTGAGTTTGCACTTAATAAGAGTTACGCGCTACTCCGGTTTTTCATCGTATATACTAAGATTTTTGCTTTAACTGCCCAATAGAGTTCATGCATATTAATATTGTATATTATATTTAATCAGAAACGATATAATATAGAAAAAAAATAGAGTACAATAATTATACTCTATTTTTAAACAAATATCAAAGTTGTATAGGTAATATTACCTACAACTTTGATATTTGTTTAAAAGGTTTGGACTTTTTAACTTTGGAAAATTTCGTCGTTTGGTCAAGAAATTTTCTTAATGTAGCGTATGATGTTCAATTTAAATAAATGTATTTAAGTTTTCTGCTGTAAATATTAAATGTTAAAAAAAAAATGATCGCGTTTCATCACTTTTAAAAATTTCAGCGCAATATATACAGCAATAATTGGTATTTTACTTGTGATATATTTTTATAACTACAACATCTATTTCTATAGTATTCATTAATAGACAATATTATCTAACCTAACACCAGACTTAAGGGAAGAGCTGGAATATATGTCTTCGAGATTATATACGATTTTTTAAACTTTTTGTCATAAACTTTAATCCTTTTAAGTTCATCTTTGAATTTTCTAGATATATAATTCTACTTTTTTAAATTCACATACCACATAATATTATTATATATATTTAATCAAATTTATTATAGACATATATGAACAGACGCGGACTGGCTAGAATCCCTTGCCCTAAAATGTATTTGTTATACAACTGTAGAACTTAGAAATCTATTTATTTTTCATAATATTGTACAATTTTAATTGAATGTTTATTGTAGCTTGGTTCCTACCTATGTACTTTTATAACGTGTTTTCAATATTTTTATAACAAGATAAAATATTTTAATATTTTATAATTAATCTAGATACATATTTTAAATTTGTCAAAAAAAATTTAGTTTTTTGTCTTTTAAATTATTTAGTATCTCGTGCCTTTTTTTACCACTCCGCGTCTGTGTATGTATACAAAGTGCACCATGTTATCGTGGTGTTATTACTGTTTACACTTTACTAGTATTCTATGGATACAGGTAACACGGAAAACGCCGTAGTCTCTTCTTGAAATATGCATGCCTATACGTATTATGTATTATAAGTATACCTACACATAAAATGTTCCAACATGCATAATATATTTGTTCAAAGCTATAATATTTTTATCGTGGGTGTTTCAGAGACGGAAAACAGACAATATCCGAATTGATCAAACAAAAGTTACACTTGAACAAGGAACCGGTAGTGGTTAATGTTTTGGCCGTCTTGCTGGTATCCGTGCTGATAATTGTGTCGTACACGATACGCCGAGAATCACTGAAGCGGAGGCCCAACAACAAACCGTCATACACAGCGACAGTGAGTCCGCTGCGCATAAAATCTTCGTCGTCATCTACCGGAAAGTTTGGATCAGGAAAGCAATCGTCGCAGCCTCCAGTTTGAGGTGCATATAACACGTCATTCCGCAATGATTTCTGCCATCATTTCTATATTTAAAACAAACAAAATACAATTAATAACAAAAGTACAACAAATTGTCATCGTCGTGTAATCAGTCTTATATTATATTTTATAGAAATAATAATATACATTCTAAAATATGTTTTTCCTATATCTTTACAACCGGCCTACATTTTCATTTCCATTTTCATATTACTTTTTTTTTATTATCTATAATAATTACACGTGTACATTAACATTCATCGGCCGTAACACTGCGCAATTATTAATGAAAACTCTAAGTAACATAATTTAACACTATTATCTCTGTGTTCCACATTCCTATTTGTCTTCCTATTTCTATATTTCTCTTTAGGTAGGTACTATTATGCGTATGTTTATTTTTGTGAATATAACAAATTACTATAATATACCGATATTGAAGTAATATTTCAGATCGATTTCATTATATTCATACATGTACCTATAATTAACAGTATTGTAGATATTTTTATTGACCTACGCATTAACGTACCTAGTAGTACAATGATTCAGTTAAACGGAATTAATTTTTTTTCTGAAGTATTGCGTCTTTCCTACTATAGATACTTTGTTTATGTTTATATACACGCACTTGTATACTCACATGTGTACTATGTGTGTGTGTATGCGTGTTAGATTACTACATTAAAATATTATACAATTTTTTTTTTTACATCAACGTACCTATTTGATAAATGTATAGGATTAAGAAAAAAAATATAATACGTTCGGCACGCGTGTTTTTGCATCATTAAAACTCAAAAGTGTCTATAAATTTATATATATAATGTTTATGAAAAACACTACATTAATAGTTATGTGTGAAGGTTTAGAATAAAAAATCTAAAACAATTCGACCAAATTTAAAACAATCGCGAGTTTTACACATTATTTGATGTAAGATTATTATAAACTATTATTATTTATTATAATTATTATCATTAGCAGTGTGTGTGTGTGTAACTTTTTCAAAAATATAAATACATTTAACTATAAGATAAGTTATTATTATCGAAACTATACTAATATATTATTTATAAATTATTAATGTTTTTCGTAATATTTGTATTTGAATTTTTAACAAAAACAACATAGAATATTATTACAATATAAATATATATGCATAGGCAAAAAATAGAGATTATTATTATCATTATTATTATATATTATATAATATATTTATATTAATATATTATTGTTTTTGTTATTGATAATTTTTTTTATTATTATTATTACTATTTATATTTCTAATTTATTGTACGTTTTTTTGGGTGTTGTAATTAATTTTATTAATAGCTTTAGAAAAAAAGGAATAGAATTTTTACAAAAAAACTTACGCGTACTATATACCATTATTAATTATAGCTACTACAACTACCGATTTATAATTATAATTATTATTATTATTATTATTATTATTATTATTATTATCATCTAGCATAATATAATTAATATGTATATTATATATAAATTATAATATTACATATACATATTACTATTAACATTATTATAATTAGTTGTTTTACAATATAATAAATGATAAATACATTTTCAAAACTTCTTTAAGTGTATTAGTATTGTCTTGAAATGTCTTTTAAATTTAATCATTTATTCCAGCACAAACAATTCATTTAGATATTTAATTAGTCATAAAATGTCATGATCACATAAATACAATTGACAAATGCGACTAATATCAAATGAATAAGAAGGTTATAGGTAGTTACAGGTATTCTGATTTTGAAGGAATAGGTTATAGAATATTATTCATTACCTTCGGACAGATTTTTCTGTATATTACCCAGATACCAAAATAATATTAATTGACCAAGTAAATAATATATAAAAAAATATATTTACATTTTTAAAAACATTTCCAAATGGTTATACAAAAATTATTAAATATTCATTTATTCTTATGATAATTTGGCCACAAAAATAATATTATTTTAAAATTAATTTTATAATATATTTAAAATATATGCCTTATGGTATGTTTAGTTAAAGTTTCAATAATATTTCAATAAAATATTCACAGAACCTTAACCTTACCAAAATATTTGCAATATTAATTGTAAATCATCTGCAGCATAAAATAAGATGTAGTTTTAAATATACATATCACTGAAATTTGCCTATAGAATATTAATTAGGTAATTTCTTATACTGCCATATTGGTATCACATATAAATTTCACATTTAAAAACTTATAGGATATAATTATGATATCATACTATAACAGCATTATGATATTATGATTGAACTAACATTTGGTTGTAGATTTTTATTTTTATAAATATTTCATTTGTGTAAATATAATAATAAGCAGTAAGTATATGAGTAATTAAACAGATTAAGATAAAAAAAATCTTCCTTTTTAATATATCCCAATACTACAAATCTATTAATGCTTTTTAACACATCAATATAAGTTAGTGATAAATACCATTTACTAGTATGAAGACTGGTGAAACAATTGTAAATTATACTAGTGATGGAAATTTATTTTTATTTTTAAGTGTTACATATCTACATACTACACGATAGGTATTCCATATTTCCACAGGTCATGACTATGGTTATTAATAGGTAGATAATTACATATAATTTTAAATGGCGGAAATAAATAAATCAGTTCAATTAAGTTTAAAAAGGTTTTAAAACAAAGTTGAAAAACATATATGTCATATATTATATAGTATTATACTATTATTAAAAATTTCTACTTTTACTATCTTTATGCACCTACCCATGTTACTTCAGAATATTTTTATTTTCTAAAATCTGTTCTATTGTATTGTTTTTTTGGATCATCTAAGTATTTAACTTACTTTATTATTTAATGTCCTATACCAACATTTAATTTTCTATTACTTTCCTTTAAAGTATACTCTTAAAATCTAATAATATCAAAGGTTTCTGCTTTATAACAAAATATTATGGTTTTTAAAAGAACCATATACAGATTCATCTCTGTAAGCTCTTGATGACAGCTTTGATTTGGTAAACAAAATATTAACTAAGTATGCCTTTATTATAAAGAGTTGACCAATAGTTATTTTTAGTTTTTTCACTGCAAACCAGGTGATGCTCATCCAATTTGTCTTCAGAATATGTGTCAACTATCTGGGCATTTCAACCATCAATCATTAATTATTAGTCCATCTTTATATTTGCATCATATTTCATTGAGTAAGATACCACATTTTTTCTTGTAAGTTCATATTTGAAATTTTCAATTTAATTTGTTCTATATATTTTCAGGAAATTCGGTAGAAAAATTAATTGAGTTAAGCCAGCGTCTAAGGGTACTTTTGCCGGTAAAATTATACCATTTGTTTGGATAAATTTGTTGGAATGGAGACTCGTTTGCGCACATTTTAATATATTTTTTAAATTTATGACAACTCGTTTGCGCACAAAATAGTAAACAATGAAAACCAGCTTTTATGTACAGTTTTGGGTGTACATGGTGTCTTACGCTGCCCAACACGTTCAATATTATTGATATCAATAATCACTCGTTAATAAATATTGAAGTACCTTCAATACAGCCAATAATATTCTCAATATCGAATATCGAATAATAATATTGATCGTGTATGGGCCGCTTTATCAGACAGGAGTAGTACCGTATAGTCTTAAAGCATAACGTGATTTCACATTAGTTTTTATCTATCAAAAATGGCATTAATGCTCGCCAAGTACACGAGTCGTGTGGGACAAACTTTAATCTTTATTATTGATATTATTACTATATTTCCACTATACAATTTCGTCTCCGGTGATAACTGATAAACCTTATTACAAATCTCTTCTATACATTTTAGTTTAGTCTTCGATTGCGATTTGCGGTGTAATAATAATGTACGGTATTTGTTAAATACAAATACCGTATATTTTTTATTTTTTTTAACACGGAGAAAAAAACGTTGTAAAATATTGAACAAATTCAAATTTCGAGAGTATAAGGAAATAAAAAATGGAAATTTCAATTATAGGTGTACTAATAAATTTTGTAATACTAGGATTATTGTAAATAATAATAACCAAATTGTCGATCAATCTAATGCGGACCATAAACATGATGCATATTCAGATCAGGTTATTTCAAGAGAAATTGTAAGGAGTTCACTGAAAAGAAAGGCAGAAAATGATCTCCATACCCGTCCAAACAAATTAATACGGCAAGAACTAAAAAATACCGATGTTGCAGAGAACATGAAATATGGTGACTTGAAACTGATCCGTCGTTCAATATATTATGTACGAAAAAAACATTTTCCCACGCTACTATCAAACTTTGACGAGTCGTTAAAACAACTTTTAGAGATGAAACATGCATAAAGGTAATCAATTTTGTTTTTCAAGTGACGATAATTCTGTTATTTTATTTACTTTTAAGAATAACTTGGAAGTGCTTTGTAATAATGAACACGTATTTGGTGACAGAACTTTTACGTATGCACCAAAACATTTCATGCAATTGTATACAATTCATGTTTACACAAATTATTATTATTTATCTTTAGTATATTGTTTTTTGAAAAATAAACAAGTATCAACATATGTGCCCACGTGGAAAACCATAATGAACTTGTCAATGCAGTTAATAGCAAAAAACTTTAGTGTAAGAATATTTCATGCAGATTTCGAAAAAGCTGTTCATATTGCTGTTTTTCAGAGTTTTTGGCAGTGTAAAATAATATGTTATACATTTTATTAAGGACAAAGTTGGTTCAGGCATTTGAAAAAAAAATAAAACATTACTAAAAGAATATTCGAAAAATGATTAGGAAATCGGAAGGTGGCATAAATACTTTTTTGGTTTACCTTATCTAAACTCTGATAAAGTTCCGAACACATTTACAGAGCTCATTTCAATATCTCCTAGTAATATAAGTATGGATTTTCCGGACTATATTTTAAAAAATTATATTGTTTTTGATGCTGATTTTGGGCCAGAATTATGGGCTAGTGAACCAGACGATAGCCCAAAAACAACGATCGAAGCTGAAAACTTTCACATGCACTTCAATAATCAATTTTATACCCCCACCATCACATTCACCAAATCATTCAAATACTCATTGAAATTTAAGTCGACACTGATTTAAAAATAAATTCATTAAAAAAAAAAAATAAAGAAAATACCCGTAGAACAAAAATATTAAAAAAACAAAATTTTTTGAAAAAAATATATTCAGATTACAAATCTAAAATAATTGATCTTATAACATTTTTGACACAAACGCGTACCAATAAATATTAAATATGAATTAACTGTAATTTGTAAATTTTAATGACTTTTGTAAAAATGAATAATAATTGTAGGTACCTAATTTATTGTAATTTATAAATTTTAATAACTTGTAAAAATGATTGTACCTAATTTATTGTAATTTGAGAAAATTGTGAATAATGTTTCTAAGGAAGCTGTTCTAAAATAAATAGCTAAAACAACATTTTTAAACCCGCCAGTCTATAACATCAGAATACGATGAGACAGAAAGTCCTAAGCTTTTTAAAAGGTGAAGGAAAATGTTGTTTGACTAAAATAATTACTGTC